TCATTGATCTAACTAGGTAACATCATCAGTGCTAGTAAGGAGTGCTGTTTGATGTCAGTTTATATTCTGGTGTCATGCCCGTCTGTGTGGGTGGGGCTGGTCTTAGGGATTCTTTGCCTAAGCTACAAATATTCTCCTTTATTGGAACTGAGAAACATAGAATAATGAAAAAAGCAGGTTTCTATAAATGCTCGATGAACAAGAAGACAGCAAAAACCGGAAAGCATAAAATCTTTACAATATAGGTTTAAAGAAAGCTTCATTTTAAGAAGCAATACAGCTGATTTACTATTGTTGATGTATTTTGTTCTTGTGGGTGTTATCATTTTCATTTATTGTATTGCTGCATTTATCATTTTAATTTGCTGTATAGATTTTTATAAGCTGAATGGGTTATAAAAATTGTGAAGTTAAATAAATAAACCTATGTAGAGCAGAGAAATTTCCTTTAATACCGTACCACAGAAAACAAAACTTGAAGGAAAGATATATTGAAGAATTTATATCCGTGTCTCACTTTCAAAGAGATTAAAGCCTCTAGAATAATTCAAAATATCAAGAAATAATGCCAGGGCATTATCAAGCATATTTCCATATTAATTCACAAATGCTGCTTTCAGGACTTGCTACAAAATTTGTTTTCTTTTCAATAGTGAAAGGGATCTGATTCAAACTGGTATTCCAATGTGAAGAGATGAAAGACTTTTAACTTCCTTTTTTGGAGAGGAAAGTGCAGTCATATATAAACTTAAATTAATTTTTCATGCTGCTCATACAGTTCTACATTGAATACAGAACAGTGGATGTATTTTTAGTAGGTAAACCATGGATGACAGTTCCCAGTGGTATTGAAATATTGTTTTCTAATTAATTTATTCTAGAATTCCAGAATTTCCACTACCGAAACGCCATTTTAAAACCACTTCAGTCTTTTACTTTTTTTTTTAAGAACAAAAGTAATGTATTTCTTGTATGCTTCTTGTATTCTGCCTGGTTATCGTTAAGAATTGGGCAGCCTACAAGCTTAATAAACTATTATGGGTGTTTAGGTATAAAAATAAGTACAGTAATCTCCCTGCAAATGAACATTATTATTAAAAAAAAGGTTCATAAATGCCTGTTATGATTTTGTGAAGAGGCATAAAGCAACTAAACATTTTTAGAGAATGATATCTCATTTATAATCCTTCAAGGCAATTCCTTTACCTATTAATATGCTTTTGTTAATATCAAGGATAGTGGTTGAAAAGGTATAATGAAGTGTATTTCTTAAAAAATACATTTAAAACATGTTATGAGGAATTTTTCTTTCAATTAAAGCACCTTTTAAAATTCTATATTGATGTGAATAAGGAATGAATATATACAATAGTCCCAGCTTTATAACCATGACAAATCTAGGGTCATATTCATAAACATATATTCTTCCCACCACAAACTTGATTGACTACAGAAAAAACACTTCCTTGATTCATCTGAAAATTTAGTTTAATATTAGTTTACTAAACAGAAGACAAACACATCAGACCTAACTTTAAAAAAAGTAATGGATTTACTTTTGATAAAGAAGCTTTAGGATCTTACTCAAAAGCAGTGTTTCTTAAAGAGTTGTCAAAGGAGACCTAGGAGTCTTCCAAGACCCTCTGAGAGGTCCATGAAATGAAAATTATTTGCCAGATATTGAAGATATTGACAAAAATTTATAACAATGTCACTCTGCATTATTTTTTATTTATTAAAATATATATATTCATGAAAAATATTGTATTTTTGTTAATTACCTAGTGGTTTAATATCGTTATTTTTCACGATTCAGTAAATTGCTATGAAAGCATCACTTTTAATTTTAATACAGTAAATATCAATAAACATAACCTATGCAAACAAAAGCTCTTCTGGAGTCCTCCATAATTTTTAAAAACGGAAAAGGGTCCAGAGAGCAAAGCATTTAAGAAACAATTGCTCTAAAGAGAAAAGGGGTGTTAAATTGCAGCTTTACAAGCTAGAAAACTGTGAGTTCTAATCCCTTATCTGGGCCAGTCACTTTCTCAGCCCTAGGAAGAATGTGCAAGAATTGCTTCTGAAAATGTCAAAAAAATTGCATTGATTAATCTCTATAATCCCCAAGAGATAGTGTTGACTGATCAACATAAGAACCAGACGTAGCTTAGTTTCATTAACTAGTTCATAAATCACAACGATGTACATAGCCAAAAACACTCAATTCGCTGTCAGCTATTTTTTAATAATATCTACAAATGATAGTTAATGTTATCTGTGTTTGATGGTTAATTAATCAAAAATGCACAATAATTTCATTACAACTGTGCAAAATGCAAAAAGCATCTGAAAAGCTTTAAGTTATGATATATATTGGAATATGGCATTACGCAGAGGAAGAAGAATGTGGAAGTGGTGATATTTGAACTGTATTTCTCATCCCATAAGAGCTTGGAGTTTCTACAATCACAATAACAAGTCTTATCAACAATATATTTTATTCATGAATATTCATAAATATTTATTTACTTGTTTCAATGACATCAGTACTACTAGCCCATCAATCCTTCCCCGCAAAATTTATCTATATTCAGCTCAAGTTGAAAAAATAAAATAGGAGGAGGGGGGAGAGTATTAAATCTAAACAAAGCAATAATACCGGTATATTTTATGATGTAGTGTAAACACCAAAGAATCTACATGACTAGTTGTTCCAAATTTTACACTTGTCTCCCAATTTATATATCTCTGAAATGTGTATGGCTGCCCAACTCAAAAGATTGTGACTCTGGGCAAGAAAACAAAAGAAAACAGAAAAGAATAATAACAAGCAATCAGATATCAAATTTCTGTTACATCCCTCCAGGTGGGAACCCCAATGAACCTGCCCCAATGCCTGGAGAGAACCATAGTTTTGCCCCTTTCTAAAGGCCAATGGGATCAGAGCCAACCATGTATCAGGGAAACGGGAGGGGGGGGGAGAGATAATTTCAGAAAGTAGGTGGTGTAAAGGAAAAGGTTCACCTCCTGGGTCCTGCCAGATGACCCTGCTCCAGGGAAATGACCCCAAATTTGCCCATCCATGTGGGACAGGCAGATGCCACTGAAGAGAGGTGGTCCCACAAATAACCTAGTCTTGTTCCATGTAGAGCAGTGGTTCTCAACCTGTGGGTCGGGACCCCATTTGGGGTCGATCGACCATTTCACAGGGGTCGCCAAGCAAGGCTGTCCGCCATTTTTTTTGTCCGCCATTTTTTTTGTCCACCATTTTTCCCCCTTTTCCGGCGGGTGCCTTACCTCCCTTGGGCTGGGCCAGCTGGTGGTCGGCCTGCTCCGTCTCTGCCGCTTGCCAGCTACGCCTCGGCCGGCGCAGGGGGCGGAACCACGCATGCGCGGCGCTCCCGGGCAGGGAAAGTCCTCGACTTACGACCGGTTGGGTAGTCCTCGACTTATGACCGGTTTAGTCCTTGACTTACGACCGGTTTAGTCCTCGACTTACGACCGGTTGGGGTCGCGGCATTAAAAAGGTTGAGAACCACTGATGTAGAGCTTTATAGATGACAACCAGCACTTCAAATTGTACCCCGAAGCTTACTAAGATCACTAAGCACTGGTCTTACACAGATAGACAAAGATGCATCCATAACTACCCACCTGCTGAATTCTGTATCAACTGAAGCTTCCAGATGCTTTTCAAGGGCAGCTTCGTGTAGAATACAATGCAGCAATCCAAGTGATGGGTTACCAATGAGTGAGAGCAAACAGAAATGCTCAATCCAAGAATGGGGGCAATTGGCATTGAGCAAAGGCCCTTGTCACCCACACCTACCACCTGCTACTTAAGCAGGTTAGGTACATCCCCCCAAATAAGTATTTTATTTATACTAATATATATAAATATATTATATTTATATTATTTATCATAACATAAATTACAAATTAGTAATTTATTACTTTGATGTCATTTTAAAAATAACATGCCTAATTTGATTTGCTTTTTGATTTGCTTTTGATTTTTTAAACAATATTTCCTCTTTTTAAATTAGCCAGCTGAAAGGCATGCTCACAGCCTTATATTTTATTAGACAAAACATTTTTAAAAATGAATCGTTCTTTTGCCCCAAGTAGGACATTTATGCTCTTCGTGTCTCCATGAGAGTAAAATCTGATTGATAACTTGTCTAGAGCGTCTGTTCCTGTATATATTTGACCCTAAAGAAAAATAACTGTTTAAGTCAATTCAGTGACAGTGCAGCAACATTTTGATGCTGATTAGGAACATTTTTTCTGAGAAATTCAATTGAGAATCCATCTTCATTAACCAGCACAATGCAAATACAATGGGGGAGGGCTGTCTAAAGATGAAACTAAAAGTATTTAAAACACGGCGAAAGTAAATATAAATTCAAAAACAAAGCAGTAGAAGAAAGAACTCCCTTTGGAAAAATATCGGGACTTTTGACAAAGGCCACCGTCCCGTTAAAGCCTGCTCGTTAAGCGCCCCAAACGAGCCGAGCCGCACTTGCTTGACTTCACAATTGAACGCCCGTCTCCTCTATTTGCTGGGGACATTATTGCGCTTTCAACCCCGACCCGGCGCGGCCGCCTCTGATCGGGATTTCGAGCGGAGACGGAGCCTTGCTCGGCTTTCCCCTCCGCTCGCAGCTCGCCAAACCGCGCGGAAACTCGGGCCACTCGACCGCCTCCTCCGCCGGCGTCGCCCGCAAACTCCCGCAGCCTTCCAGCCCAGTTTCACCCGGACAGTCGCTGCGTTTGTCTCAGGACGGTCTCCGCCTCTCCGAAGCAACCACCTGTGGCCCTCCGGGGTCTGGAAGCGGCGCCTTTCCCGGAGCATCCGTCGCGCACTTCGGGGGAGCGAGGCGAGCGCAGCTCCCGGAGACTCCCTGCGGGCCCCCCTTCCGGCTCCGTCCGCTTTCCGCCCTTCCCAGCTCCCGGAGCGCCTATGGCAGCCGCCGCTTCCCGCCCCTTCTTGCACTCACCCAAAACACCGTGGAGTAAATGACGAGCGTGAATTTGAGGCACAGGTAGGAGAAGCGCGCGCAGTAGCGAACCTGCTCCGAGTCTCCCTGCGCCGCCATCGCCCCCGCCGCCCCCTGCTCGCCACCTGCCGCTCTCCGTGCCAGCCAGCCAGCCAGCTCAGAGGCAGCGGCGGCGGCGGCTCCGGGAAGCGGCTCGCCTGCGCCAGCCGGCCTGCGTGGCTGAGCGCGGCAGAGCAGCTGCCGAGAGGCGAGATGGACGCGCCCTGCTAAGGTTGGAAGGCTGAAATGGTATAGGGTTTCCTGCCTGAGCAGGGGGTTGGACTAGATGACCTCCAAGACCCCTTCCAACTTTGTTGTTGTTGTTGTTGTTGTCTGCAGATCTGTCGCCGGAAAGGAAGCGCTTCAGATTAAGGCCGAGACTGACAATTTAGTCTAGGCCTGGTTCAGTCTGGAGTGAATTCCACTTCCAAAGCGCCGGAACGTTTTCCAAACCACTTTCACCTTTTTGGAATCCTTACATTGTAGAATCAGTGTTTCTGGAAGTGAGTTTAGGGATCGCTAATCCAAGCTTTCCCCGTGCATAACTGCTCCAAGTCCCCACTCCTCTATTTGAGATCCACAACTGGGGAGACAGTTTTCAGGATGGCTGCTCTGGATGACCAGTTCGGTTACCTTGAATAGGATCAGACTGCCTGTGTGCAAGAAATGTCATTCTGCGGGACCACACTAACAAAATGAAAAGTAAATGGTAATAAAGGTGGCAGAATATCAACATCACTTTGAAGGTTTATACAGATAGACAGCTTCTTCTTTTTAATACTTCCACTTGTACATTTCAATGGGAAAGTAACACATGAAACTCTTTTATACATCTGTATTTATAGCCTAAAAGCATGACGTCTTTAGAGTCTACATCTTCCCAGATATTCTTTTAATTTATATCTCTACACTCTCTCCTTTCCAAGTAATTAAACTGGCTTTCATTCACTTTTTTAAAAACACAAAACATCTATAAAGAATCTAAATAGGATGGTTTTTAAAAAAATACATGCTTGGCTAGGCCTAAGCTAAAATACCTCATCCACATTGAACAGAAATTTCATTATTATCACAGTACAGCAGGGTTGATGTAGGCAAGAACATTTTTAAATATGGTAAAAGGGATTTGAATTTCTCATTTGTAGTTGAAGGAAGTTGATCAGAAAATTTCCACGCCAGCTTTGATGCTCCATCTGTTTTCAGTCTTCTTTATAATTTTAAGTTATCATTATTCCCTCTAGCAACTAAGAGTAAATGCTTGTTGCAGTGTGGAAATTTTGTCACAAGAATGTCACCAACATTTATGGATGTCCATTATTCAAGTATTTATTTATTCATTCATTAATCCAATTTATATGGCCCCTCTATCCAAGAAACTGGGTGGCAAACAAATCCAAAGCAGTATTTCAGTAAATGCAACTAAAACTGGACCAAGGCTCAATAAAATACTTAATCACTAGTCTCAGGCACCCATTTCAGGATTCTTATGGTAACATCTCCCCATCTTTTAATTGTAAATTAAAGTAAATTGTAAACTTCTCCCTCCCTTTTTAATTGTAAATTATTATTGTTGTTATTTATTGTTTTGTCACTTTAATGTTTACCAATTTTTAATTTTTGTAAGCCACCCAGAGTCACCTCAATATGAGATGGGCAACAAACAACTCTAATAAGTAAATAAATAAATAAAAATATGCTTCCCAAAATATGCCTGGGAAGCTCCAGGTCTCACAATCTTGCAAAAGATGAGTAGAAAAGGAGTTATCTATATTTTAAGGAGAAGGCTGTTCCAGGGGGCAGGCACCATAATAGAGAAGGTATGCTTCAGGGAACCTTCCAGATGACATTCTTATAGATCAGGGGTCTTCAAACTTGGCCCTTTTATGACTTGTGGACTTCAACTCCCAGAATTCCTCAACCAGGAATGCTGGCTGAGGAATTCTGGGAATTGAAGTCCACAAGTCATAAAAGGGCCAAGTTTGAAGACCCCTGTTATAGATGCTACCTGGGGCCAAATCCGGTGGAGCCAACTTTGGAGGAGCAATAAAATATCACTGGGGGTGCATAGTTCTTCAAGTAACCCGGCCCCATGCCATGTAGGGCTTTAAAGATGATAACCCCCTTGAATAACACCCAGAAACCTATTAGGAGTCAGTACAGTTTGTGTAGCAATGTGTTGCACAGGAGTATATCCAAAACTACATGTGCTACTGCTTTCTGGACCAGCTAAAGCTTCTGAATGCTCTTCAAGGGCAGACTCATGTAGAGTGTGTGTCCAGTCAGGAGGTGACTAAGATTTAAGTGACCATAAGCAGTGCCTCCCAATCCACAAATGGGCGTAACTTGTACACAGGATGCTCTTGTGGGCATGGTTGCCACCTGCTCCTTGAAAATAGGTTGAGAATCCAAGACAAAGCCCAGATTGCACACTGAGTCTAATTCAGGGTTAACAATGGACAATTACTAGTTATGGTGGCTGCTAAACCCACAGCCATTCAGTCATATGGTTCAGCTCAATTTGTCCTCCCAAACTCGCATAGCCACAAGGCACTGTGGAAGTATCTCAGCAGCAGCACTTGGCTAGCCTGGGGCCAAGAAGTATAACTGAGTAACATTTTTTTAAATGTTTTCCTTGTTTTAAGTGTTTTATAGTTTTAGGATTGTAAGCCACACAGACTCACTTGACTGAGGTGAGTAGCTATAGAAATTGAAGAAATAAATAAATCAGCATCTTGATGATAATTAACTCCATGCCCACAGATGTGCTCACCCAGAAATGTCATGTAGATGTTAAATAGGAGCGGGGAAAGAGTTGAGCCCTAGAGCACCCACAAAGCAGGGACCTAGGACTGGATCTCTCCCCCTGTACCAATACCGACTGGAACAGACCCCAGAAGAAAGACCAGAAGAACAGTGCTTCCCACTCCCAACCTTCTCCGCTAGTTCAGAACGACACCGTGATGGATGATACTGAAAGCCAGAGAGAAGTATCAGCCCCATCCTGAGCCCACTAGAGATCATCAGCATGTGCAGTCAATGCTACCTTGGTGCTAAACTCAACCTGTACCCTCTCTGCCACAAAACCAGATAATCTGCTTCCTCTTTTGGAGTTACAAGCTAAAAAGATAAGTTTGGAGAGTGGACGAAAGTTGTCTCGTACGGATGGGTCCAGTGATGACCTCTGAGAAGAGGGCAAACCACCATCTCCTTTAAGGCAGGCAGAACCATCACTTCCACCTACAAAGAGACCTCATCATCACTTGAACCCAACCAAAACAAGCCAGAAAGGTCAGGGATCTAATTTTGCACAAGTGGCAGAATTCAACCTCCCAAGGATCCTATCCACTTTCTCAGGACGAAGCAGATCAAACTCTGCCCAGGTAACTGGGAAAGACTGGATCCCACTCAACTTGAGAGGACCAGCACAGTTGAAGTCCATCTCCAAGCAAATCTCAGCAACTATTTATCCATCAGTGCGTCTAGCTGCATAATCCTCATAACGATGTTGCAAAGGATCCCCTGACCCCTCCTTCCCCAGAAGGGACCAAGATATCCAAACAGAGCTGCCAGGCAACTATTTGCAGATGCAATAAGGTGGAGAAATATACACATGTTGCTACATTAATTAATTAAGATAATCCTTAATACAAGCTCTTACCTCCACTTAACCTGTGAATGTGTTTTAAGATCTGGGTGTTGCTGTGGTGGTTGTTTTATTATATTCGGCAGCAATATGGAGCTCTCGGCTTGTGCCTGTTTCTTTTGAAAATTATGGCAAGGAACTTTTTAGGAGCAGATACGATGAAATTTTTTCACAATATTAAGGATTTATCGCAGTGTGGCATTATATACACCAGCACTGTGAAATGTATTGCAGGTGCCTAGAGATCCTGCACTTAGAATCTTTTTCTCATAATGAAATTTTCTATAGGGCATAATCATCATCATCATTATTATTCATCTCTGAACTCAAGAGAAAAAAGTGAAATGTTATGATGACATTTAGCTAGCATGATTGATATTAACCTAACTAAAAGAGAGAAATGTATCACTTCAGGCCTTACACAAAAAAGCTATTTTCTTGAGGGAGAATAGCTCATTGATGTGGCCAACAACTGCAGAATTTGTTCTTGCCCCATTGCCAACAAGCAAGCTAATGAATGAAGGAATTGAGAATAAATAACCAGCATTATAGAAGCTGTGAAATGTGTCAGTGTCTAATATTAACATATTTGAATAGCTTTCAGGTTTTATACATGGTCCATCTCACTTTGTCACTTAGCTTTTAACAAAACCCCTGTGTTTACTAACACAATTCTTTTAATTTTAGTCACAGGTCATTTCTGTATCTTCAAATTATTATATTTCTTGATAAATTGTGCTAAAGATTTATAAATAATTCCATTCTGCAAAAATACAAAAGCTTGCTTGAAATTCTGCTGATCTTCCTACACATGACCTTTAAATATATTTTCTTCTTGGGGCAGAACAGAATCTTGCTGGTAATTCCAAGGAAGATCTCCCCTTAGTTTGTGTACATCTGCCAGTAAAAACTAACAGTTAAGTTTTGAAACTTTCCATCTAAGTATGTAATTACCATTGGAAAGACTGTACAGCTGTTTAAAATAATTACAGATCATTAAGAGTCCATTAAATTCAGGAAGTAAGATATAAATATAAATTCATTTTATTTGGGATTTAATAAAGTACTTTCCCAGGTCACGCAGAGAATATCCAGTTATTTCCATTCTTTCATGCAGTTGTGCAAGATTTGAATCTGTGAGAAAAATCTCAAAAGTTGCTAAAAATATTTTTATCAGAAATTTTAAAGATTAAAATTTAAGTAAGTGAATTCTCGAATTTGTTTATGGACTGGTTTACATGAATTGACTCTAAAATCACAGTTCTTGTTCAAATGAGCTTGAAATCTGGCCAAGGTTTCAAGGAAATTGAAATTGAAGCTGGGAAACCTCAGGATATAGGGTGTATTTTTAGCTTCTTTCCTCAGACAGTAATTTACAAGACAAAAGGTTATATCATTTTTACACTATATACAAGAC